TCGATGTTCTGTTTTTATTTCAGCGGTGCTCTGGTGTATGTCCCAGCCTGAAGGTGTCATATCCGCTCAGCTATCAGAGGTGAATTTCCAGGCACTACGGGCAGAAAAGCCACGGTTTCTCCCTCTTCTGGGTTGTTGTTGGGAAAAGAGCTGAGCAAAGGCCTGCCCTGTGCCTTCCAACTCAGATCGCGCACCAGCCACCCGAGGGTCGAAGTGAAGATGTGTAATGTTTATGCATCTAAAAACCATCTGAAAACCACAGCTTGCAGAGATGGGGGTTTCACAGGAAACTGAAGCTTGTCACTGCTGGCCTGATGTGGGGCTCTGGCAGCTGAGTTTGATGAGGTGGGAGAGTGGGGGGCCAGCCTGAAGTGCACGGACCAGCTCAGTCTCAGGCTGGAGCCCCTGGTGGTGCTGATGCTCCAGGACAGGTCCCTCCCTGGGCAGGCTTGCGCCCCACTCCTGTGTGCTTGCATGGACCATGGTGGCAGCTGAAGGCCACCAGCTGCATGTCACTGTGGACTCTCCTTAGGTTGAGAACATAATGGAGCCTTTCCTGTTCCCCGTGGGTGGAGGCCAGAGAGGTCAGCCACACATGGGCTGGTGGCCTCAGTGTTCCTGCCAAATAGGTCTTGACTGAGAGGCAAAGATGTACAGAAAGGGAAAGAAAAAAGGAATAGGACACTGAAGTTCGGTCAGGCCGGGATGGTCACCCTCTCCCCCGTTTGACTAATGAGGAAACTGAAGCTCATCCGGGCCTCACGTGGGGGAAGGTGCTGCTTATTCTGGGGCTGCAGGCAGTTGGGGTGCAGGTGGGACCTTGAGAAGCTTTTGCAACTGGGAGCATCTCCTGCTGTGGTGGGCTGTCCAGGGTCCCCTTCACCAGCAGGCCTGGCTGGCCCAGCACAGGGGAGCTAGGGTCACAGAGGAGCCACCTCTGCCCTTTTGCCTGAAACACAGATATCGTCAAGAGGATGACACGGACGGGGCCCTTTGAGGAACATGGGTGGGACCCCACGCAAGGCAGTTTGTGGGGGGCGGTGTTGCAGAGGCAATCTCCTCGGGCCTGAGAGAGGAGGGCAGGGAAGAAGAGGACTGTGAGTAGCTTGGGGGCCCCTTCCTCCTGGGGGCACAGTGTTCACTTCTGCACACACCCCGGGGGCAGGCAGCTCTGCTCCGGGTCTGCTCACAAGTCAGCCTTCACCTCCAGGGAATGTCCCCGTTGTCTTTTTGTCCAAGGGACTGTGTGTCACCTTGCACCTGTGGTGGAAGGCAGGGTATTACATAAGTGGACATGTGGGAGTCCCTGAGTCCTGTGGGCAGGGCTGCCCTGGGCGGGAAACCCACCTCTGGGATTGCAGCTTCGGCCAGAAGGGCCTCCACCTGCTGGGATTGGAGTGGGACAGCGGGGTGCCTGAGGACTCCAGATGGGGAGAAATGAGATGAAGTGTGTGTCCTCCAGGGCCCCCATGTGAATCCTGCCCACGGCACCAGTTTCTCCACTCTGATTCTATGAGAGGACACCCCCTTCCTGTGTCAGGGTCCCTTCCTCTGGCTCTCTCCGTGGGCGAGGTCTCCTCACCTCCCAGAGCTCCCATTTCCCTCCTTGCTGCCCTGGGGTTGGGGTGAGGACACTCACAGTGAAGGTCTTAGCTGGTGGCCAAACACAGGAGCACATGGGGTCTGCCTCTGCTGCCCACTCCCCTTCCAACCCCGGACGGCTCCTCACTCTCGTCGGAAGACTCCATCTAGTCTCTATTTTAGCTAGCTTGCTTACTGACTTCTTTCTTAAGAAAACAATTGACTGTGCAGCTAATGCATGATCATTGTTGAAAGATTCTACTGTGTGAATAACTCCTCCCTGCAAAAAGCTGTACCACCAAACCCACAATTATATAATCGTTGATAATCACAGCACCCAGAAATGTTCGCTGTTAACATTTTGTGTATATGCTTCAGGCTCTTTTCCTCTCCATATATAGATGTCTTCTATGCTTTTACACATATTTCACCAAAAAACTGTAAACTGTATACCCTCTTTGATTGTCAGTCAGCAGTATATTGGTGGAGAGGAGGCTGGGTATAGCTCAGTGGTAGAGCACATGCTTGGCATGTATGAGGTTCTGGGTTCAATCCCCAGTATCACCATTAAAAAAAATTATAATATAATAAAGTAAATAGATAAACAAACCTAACTACTCCCCCCCACCAAATAAAAACTAAATGGTGGTTGCCAGAGATGGGGGAGGGGTGTGGATGGGGCAAAATGGGGGAAGGTAGTCAAAAGGCACAAATTTCCAGTTATAAATAAGCCCTGCGGGGTGTGATGTAGAGCGTGGTGACTGTGGTTAATAATACTGTGTTGCATATTTGAAAGTTGCAAAGAGGGTAGACCTTAGAATTTTTCATCATAAGAAAAAAAATTTGTGTGTGAGGTG